GTAGAGGCAAGTTTTTAACTTCAAAAACATATGTGTAAATCTTTTAATGTCAACTCCAAAGATGGATAATATCAAAAATTATACTATTCCTAAAGAACATACCACATTTAAAGTAGTTTCTGATATAGCAATAAAGCCTTGTTTGGTTGTGTTTACTTTATCAGTTTTGGTGTATGCAAATTAAATACTGGCAACATGTACCTAATGTACCTAGGCTTAGTCTACAAACATGTTTTTGCATTCTGCGTCACACCTTAACAAATCATCAACCACACATGCAGGCAGAGAGACTCACCCTCTATACAACACCCCAACGACTGCTGACATGAAGCCAGCAGACGCCTCCTTCTGCTGCTCTGCAACACACATACCTGCCTCTGCATGTGCACTATCACGCAGAGATACACACACATACACATTTTAATCTGTTGAAAACTTCTCTTCATATCACTTCTGCTCAAATATTCAGTCTAACAACGTAGAAATCGGTTGAGATGGAGAGGACAGAAGTGGTTAATAGCAGCTGCAGTTAAAGCAGTGGTTAGGTTGCAGGAACATTAGTCGGTGTATTTCCATGTGTGTGTTTATATATGATGTTGTATGGAGAATAGTAAATGTCACGCAGTGCAGCAAAAGGCAGCGAGGAATCATTACTGACTCACCCCCCTTTTACACCTTCCTCCCTCTTCTCCTGCTCATCCTTCTCTTCAGTGCTCTCACTGCTTTCCACCACTTTGTCTCCTCCTGTCTCCGCTGTGGTCTCCTCCACAGCTGCCCACAGCTGCTTCTCCGCCTCGCACACTGGATCCTTATTGTTGACCGAACTCTCCTCACCACCAGCTGAGATGCCTGCTGGCTTCTCATCATCTGCTGCCTCCTGTTGTGGTTTCCCCGACGGCTGGAGAACCGGTTCCGGCCGCAATCCTGGTTCTGGCCGCAATACTGGTTCTGGCTTTGAGGGCCGGAGCGACTCCAGCGCCAAAGCTGTGCGCTCTTTGCCTGGTTTGGGGGAAACCTCGAGTGAGGTCGTTGGTTTCACGCAGGGTCCCTCTGGCTCTTTGGGCTCCTCTGTAACTGATGGTGCACCAGGTCGAGCAGGAGGTGGTTCAACTTGAGGTGTTCCTGAGCCTTTGGCTGTGATTGGCTGGGGCTCCTGTCTGACAGGAGCGTCCTCCTCAGCAGCATCTTCTCTGTGTGAGCTAGGAAAGAAGAAAAACACATGAAGTTACATTTTTTACTAAATGACATTTCCTACATGTGTTAATAAAAAGCTTGACTTTTAGCAAGGCCGCCACAGACAGACATGGAGGTAAGGCAGAAAAGCAGACAGACAGACCCTCATCCATTCTTACCCTCTGCACAAAGGGTTTGTACCATCCTTGGCAGAGATATTTTCAGGTGAATCTCTCCCACTTCTACTTTCTAGCACATTCCACAGAGGAATCTCTGCATCACACAGCCCCTTTGGTGGAGGCACCAGGGTCAAGTCCTCTGATGTGACTGGTTTATCCTGAGCAGTAGGGGCTGAATGGATGGCAGTTGGAGCACATGCAGCAGATATTTTGTTTTCAGGGACAACAGTATTTGACAGTGAATCTTCCTTGACGAGGGAGAGTTGCACCAGACTGGAGTAAGACGAAAGAGGAAAAATGAAAAAGGGAAGAAACAAGGAGAAGAGTTCAGTAGCAGTAAGAAAGCCACAATGAAGGAAGAGGAAAAACTTAAGAGTAGGGGTGAGTGATACCACAGAAAATAGTTTCCAAGCAACAGCAGAGCCACACGCATATCAATACCAGTATCAACACTTCTCATCAGTCCAAGTTGCTTTGATTGCATGCACCATTAACTGATGTATCAGTACTGTGTAACTGGCAATTGAGCTTTTCCTTTGACTATTAAATGTGTATTGCTTGCATGCTCAAATGAAAGACAGTTGAATTCACAAAATAAACACATAAATTCTAATAATTATCAATAGACATTGAGTGAATGCATGCACACACAAGACATACTCAGACATATCAGTAGTAGCAATACTTTTGGGTTTGATCTGCCCACTCCTACAACACACATAATCAATCAGTCCAAATTTAACATGAGCGGAGAATCACAAAAATAATTACCACAGAAGAACAGGGAAATAAAATAGAATAAAATATAAAAATCAAATGTTAAATTATTCTGCACAACCTGAATCTCATGTACCTGAAAAAACTGAGCAAAGGCTGATGCTTAAATCAGTAGATTTAAATCAGAAAGAATACAAAGCAACACTCTCTAACTTTATAACCTTTGAATAGCAGCTTCAAAATTAGTTTTGAGATGTGTGTAACTGACTAGACCCAACAAGTTCAAGAGTAACGTTGAACTGTAGATCGTTTAAAAAAGATCCAGAGGTCATTGTTCACATCCGATATTCAGCGAGGAAACTTTTAAAATATGAAGAATCCTGAACAGAGTTAGGTGAACTTATTACAGCAGCAGCTCCTCTGATTCAGGAAGCCGGGGTTCATGGGTAATAACTGTTCAGTTGTGGGTTGAGACTTGTTTTTTTCTCCACATAAAAACAGCTTAAACCCTCAGACACTTACAGTCCAACAGAATCAATCACTAAATGTGGCTGCAGAGGGCGCTGCTGCTCAGTAAAAGTTACACAGTGTTGCTTTAAATTGATTTGTGAAGATTTCAAATTGATTAATTGATTGATTTTATTTGAGGCTTAAGAAAGCAGACGACACCCACAGTGACGGGATCACTCGTCGTTTCAGCAACTCACCGATCTGTGCTGGAGTTAACGGAGGCAGAGCTCTGGATGAGAATTTGTGAAGACAGCTTCTCAGATGTAACACTGGTTTTGTTTGGAGGAGGGAGGTGTGGAGCAGGAAGAGGGAGACCAGGAGGAGGTGTGTGTGTGAGGTGTGTGTTTAACTGAGAGACTGATAAAGGAGAAGATGAAGAAGAAACCAGAGTTCTCATCTTCTGCTTGTCCTCGTCTGATCTGTTGGCGTCTGGACTGAAGATTAGAGCCTTTCCAAGCTCCTTCCTCTTCTGCTCTTCCATTTTCCTCCCTTCTTCCTCCTTCTTTCTCTGCTCCTCTTGTACTTGTCTCCTCTTCTTTTCATCTTCTTCCTTCTCTTTCTCCTTCTTTTCTTTAAGAAGTCTCTCCTTTTCTTCCACTTCCCTCTTTCTTCTCTCCTCTGCTTCTTTGACTTTCTTCTCCTCCTCTTCCATCCTCCTCCTCTCCTCCTCGACATTTTGCATCCTTTCTTTCTCTCTCTGCTCCTTTAAGAGTTGTTCTTTCCTCCTCTTCTCCTCTTCCTCTTCATGTGTTTTCTCCTCTTCCTTTTTCTTTTTCTCCATCCTTTCTTTCTCTACCCTTAATAGTATCTCCTTCTCTTTCTCCTCCTTCTCCTTCTTTTCTTTGATAAGTCTCTCCTTTTCTTCCACTTCGCTCTTTCTTCTCTCTTCTGCTTCTTTGACTTTCTTCTCCTCCTCTTCCATCCTCTTCCTCTCCTCTTCCTCTTTTTGCATCCTTTCTCTCTGCTCTTTTAAGAGCCTTTCTTTCCTCCTCTCCTCCTCCTCTTCATGTCTTTTCTCCTTCTCTCTTTTCTGCCTTTCCTCCTCCTCTTTTTTGTTCCTCTCCATCCTTTCTTTCTCATCCTTTAAGAGTCTCTCCTTCTCCTCCTTGAGAAGTCTCTCCTTTTCTTGCATTTCCCTCCTTCCTCTCTCCTGTGCTTCTTTGATATTCTCCTCCTCCTCCTTAATTTTCTGTTGCTCTGCCTTCATGCGTTTCTCCTCCAGTTTCCTCCTCTCCTCTTCCTCAAGGAGCCTCCTTTTCTCTTCCTCTCTCCTCCTACTTTGCTCCTCTAGCACTCTCCTCTCCTCCAACCTCTTCTCCTCCTCCTCCTTCATCTGCCTCAGGAATCTCTCTCTCTCATGTCTCCTCTCCTCCTCCCTTTGAAGTTTTTCCTTTTCCTCCTCCATCCTCAGGATTCTCCTCTCCTGCTCTCTTTTCTTCCTCTCCTCTTCCTCCCGCTTTCTCTTCTCCTGTTCCTCTCTCAGCTGCTTTTCCTGTTTTTCTCTCTTCTCCTTCAGGAGTCTCTCCTCCTCGCGTTTCCTCCTTTCCCTCTCCTTCTTTCCCTCCTCCTCCTCTTGCAACAGCCTCTTCTTCTCCTCCTCTAACAGTCTCTTCTTCTCTTCCTCATGTTTTTTCCTCTCGTCCTGCTCCTGTTTCAGGAGCACTGCTCTTTCCTCTTCTTCCTTTCTCCTCTGTTCCTCCTCTTGTTTTTGTTTTTCGCTCTGCTCGGCCCTCATCTTCTCCTCTCTCTGCGTCGCTGCTCCCTCTAACTGCTCTGTCTTTCCTCCACAGGTCTTTTCTTTAGTTTTTTGTTCAAAACTGCAGAACAGATAAACAATATTTCTTAAGCCCAATTCTCTCTGTGTTTTTAACCATGATCATCACCACCAGTTCACATTTTTTATCTTTATCTGTTTATTTTTCTGGATCTTGAACATAAATACTCACCCTGGAGGACACCTTTTGATAGTATCCCGTTTAGAATCATCCTCTTCCAGAAACAAGCCCCCTGATTCATGTCTCTGGTCAAACGGTTCAAACATGACGCTGCCAAAGTCGAGCTCAGGCTCAGGCTGCGCCAGTGGTGCCTTACTGGCACTGATTATATTCTGCGTTTCATCGATTGGCTTTTTCAAATCAATAACCCTCTGAGCGTTTGGCTGCTTGGGAGTGATAAAAGCTGCCACAACGTTGGTGGAGGGCTGCTGATTGGTGGAGCTCTCACTGCACGAGAAGGGCCATGGAGGGGGCGGGGCTATGATCAGCTCAGAGCGGGATTGGGCAGGACTGGGGGACAGAAATACTGGTGGTCAGGCTTGAGAGACAAGTGTGTGAGAGGGTTCGCAAGGGTGAAGCGTGCAGGAGGTGATGGGGGGGGGGGCAGGCCACACTACACACCTGGTAACTGTTCCACTGCATTGACACCTACTGGAAGGTGAGTGCAACACAATGCAGGGTACAAACCACTCTGCAGCCATTAGCTCGAGTTAGCATCAAGGTAGCAGAAGCACAGAGAACAAAGCAGCCGTGAGTCCTCGAGCAACAAGTCGATAAGGACTCATAAAACTTGATCAGGAACACAGATTAACTGTTACTCAATAACATGCCTCTGCACTAAAGTGGTCATTTAGATCACAATGATTCTGATTAAGTGTTGATCAATACATAACAAGTGTTGCAGGCTTGAAATAAATATGCTCTAAGTTTTCCTCTATGATCCACACTGAAGAGCTGAATTAGCTGTATAATAACAAATAACATTATAGCAGCTATAATAAAAAGAAATCAAAAAGAACAACCCCAACTTTCCTTTATATTCTGTTTAAATATGATTATTTATTGTTAATTAGGGATTAATTGAGCTTCAGAGATTTTGATTCCTTGCAACAGAACGAGGCTAGCTGTTTCTCTCTGTTTCCAGTCTTTGTGCTAAGCTAAGCTAACCTGTGTGCTGGTTGTTTAGGAGAGGGTTGGCACCTGGTTAGAGAAGCAGGAGGCAGGACATGAGGTATAAATTTCACTGCAGGAAATATGGTGTTGAATGTCCAAGTCGACATCTTCGTCTTTCACTTGTATGGCAGCCCTATCTAATCCTGAGATCTTTGTATTCTTTTAGTTTTTTTTCTCTGTCGTATGTCTGAAACATCTCCAACAAACTCAGTCACTCACTGTGAATTTAACAGACATTTTCCAGCTGTATTCTCACACGGTCTCACTCAGACATTCTCCAAAAACTTTACTGGGGGGCTAGAAGGAAAGGTTCCAGTAAATGTGCAGAGCAGCTGACTCAGACATTTGCATTCTTACATACAGCTCCTCCGGAAATGTTCAGTGCGTGTCTGAAAATAGTTTGAGGTTCACAAGCCGATTCTTCTTGAGACAAATTGAGAAGAACAGCAAGGAGAATCCAAGCCTTCTGGACGTTTATCATCTATGTTGTGTCTCCTACACTCTGCTTCAAAACGTCTTTTTGGCTCTGTCGTCTATTGACACATTTTGGCCTCAAACAGCAGTTTGAGGCAAAACACATCTTTTAAGGAGCCAGACCAAGCAATAAAAGTTCACATGATCATGTTGTCATCATCCCATGACCTCACCTGATCCTCCCTGGCTCAGCTTTGTTTTCTGTGATGGTCGCCTTTGAGTCCTGGCCTGGTCTGATTTGCTGGTTGGATATCCTGATGTTGGCCGCCTTTTCACCTTGGCTTAAACGGCTCTGAGTCGTTTCCTTGTCTGCTTGAGCGAGGGGGAACGTTAAGCCTGTAAAGAGAAAAAGCAACATCAGATAATAAATAACACACAGGAAAACATATTTGAAAGAATGGAGGGAAAATGTGGTAATTTTGGACAAGACAAAGAAATGTTAGCAAGGGGAATATAACACTGACGAGTGAAATGTTTGATTGGTCAGCTGGTGTACCTGAGCTGATCTGAGCAGGAGGAGCAGAAGGAGAGACAGCAGACTGAGGGGGAGGAGAAGAGAGTAGAACAGAGGTGGAAAGAGATGAGGAGCGAGGGGGTGAGGAGCGAGGAAGGGGGGCAGGAAGGGCCGGAGCCACAGGGTCGCAGAGAGCATCAAGATCAGGGCTGCTCAGTAGAGGGACAGGGGCGATGTCTCCTTTGATCGGGGCAGAGTCAGATGTCAGCCATGTCCCCTGAACACCTGAGGAAAGAAAGTGTGCAGAAGAACAGAATAAAGATAGTACTAAAGAGCAGAGAAGGAGGACAGAGACGATCAAGTGGGGTGGAAAATGAGAGGATTTTGAGAAAGACTGGTCAATGAAGGCAGCACAAATGATGGCTGTGGCTGAGGGGTAGAGCGGTCGTCCTCCAACCAGAAGGTCAGAAGTTCAATCCCCAGTCTTCCCATCTGCATGCCAAAGTGTCCTTGGGCAAGATACTGAACCCCAAACTGCCCAATAGAACAACAAAAAGTGCTAGCTATAGAAGCACTGTATGTATGAATGTGTGTGTGAATGGAAAACTGTAGTGTAAAGCGCTTTGAGTGGTCATCAAGACTAGAAAAGCGTTATATAAATACAACCATTTACCATTTACAAAGAAATAGAAAAGTCTAGAAGTGAGAGGGAGTTTAAAAGAAGGTGCTAAGATGCTTATGAATCTGCAGGAAATGTTAGAGGGGGAAGAACATTGGCTGTAAAGTGCACTCGGTCGGTTACCTGATGCTGAGCCAGAGGGGTGAGGTTTGGGAACAGGGGGTGTTGAAGCAAGAGGAGGTGCATCAGCAGAAAAGGGTGAGGGAGAAGTAGGGCGGGTGATTGACTTGACAAGCTGAGGTTTGAAAATGTGGGAATGAACTAGCAGAGAGGAAAGACATGAGAAAAAAGGACAAGAGAAAAGTAGATTTGTTTAGATTTAAAAAGAATGTCAGCAGCTGATTAACATTTGTCAAAGCAAGAGACGGACCAGTGACTGAAGTAGGATCATCAGTTTGAGCCTCTGGGGGGCGCCGTTGATATGAAGCAGGAACTGGGGAGAGGAGAGCAGAGGAGGTATATAAAGGAGTCATGGACATGAAAGTCACATTCACCCATTCATTCACACACAGTGCTTTTTCTATCACACACCATTCATACACTGATGGTACAACCATCCTGCCCAAGAACACCATGGAATGCAGCCTGGAGGTGCCAGGGATCAAACGGCCGACCTTCTAGTTAGTGGACGTGTAAATGTTCAAAACAAGCTTATGATTGTGATTTATATTACAACATGTGACAGTGTGATATATCACATCACATTGAGAAGACTTGAACATGTTGGTGATGAATCTGTCTAACTAACCTATGGATTAACATTCAGATCTCTGATGCGTGGTCTAAATCTACTAGTAGAATAACAGTGACTGTTGTTCTGGGCAGCATTCAAAAACATGCAGAAAGCAAATGATCCAAAATACAACGCTTTCATTTGTTCGTGTTGCCTGAGGTCATGCAGCACTGACTTTCAACTTTAAAACACTCAACAAATTCTGATAGCATAACAACCCAACCATGCACGGACCTTCAAAATACTGTACATCAATAGTAAACTAAAATCTGTATCATGGGCATGAAGCTAAGTCACGAGGTCAAACCAGACCCTTCACTCACAAGGAATGGGTTAGCGTGAAAGCGTGCAACATGCTTGTCAGCCAGCCTGTCGATACCTTTCGCTGAGCCTGACTGGAAGATTCTGGGCAGAGAAGGCGGCTGAGAGAGGGTCCGGGCGAGCGGAGGGTGAGTGGATGTGGACTCAGAGGACAGGGTGGAGTTTGAGGGTGAGGTGGATTTGAAAAGGAGAGGCTGAGAGACAGGAGAGACGGGCTTATGGGTCAAAGCGATGAGAGAGGACTTTAGGGGAGCTGTGGAAGACGATGTTATGGTCATGTCAGTTGATGACGTCGCAGTGGAGGGAGGTTCGTTTGTGGTTAAAGTAGTGATGCCAGTTGCAGTGACGGTGATTGGATGAAGATTTGGGGGAGGCTCCACTGAGACTGAAGTGGACACAGATATGGAGCATGTGGGAGATGGAGGATGGGGGGAAGAGGTAGGGGTGGTTATGGAGTTGGACTTGGGGGATGGAGGACTAGCAGGAGACACATCAGAGAGAGGCAGGACGGGGGATGGACTCTGGGTTGAGGGAGCAGCTGCTGGAACCTGGGGACTCTGAGGTTGTGGGTGAGCTAAAGCAGGAGGCTCAGGAGCAACGGGATTGGTCAGTTTCTTATGCTTGGACCTGGGCGAGGGCTGAGGGGAGGGGCCAGGGGAAGGCTGGATCTCTGATTGGACAGGGGCGTTGGCGAGGGGGTGTCGTGAGCGGCGGGGTGAGGGCCGAGGGGCGATCGGTAGGGGAGGGCGAGAGTGGATGGCAGGGCTAGGAGGACCGCCATCACGTCCACAGACTGATGGATGGAGGGATGGAGGGATGGATGGATGGATGGATGGAGGGAGAAACATTGAAAAACACAATGAAAAACTTGACTTGAGAATGAGAATGAAATGAAAACTGGATCACTGTTGGTGTCACATGTCAGGATCCTCAGTTAATCACATGACTCACTTGTTTGGGCGACGCCACAAACAAAATGATGAACAGTGATGGAATTAAAGCCCATTTATCATCGTCTGCTTTTCCTCTCACCTGATCATTTTACTCCACACCAGCACATTTGCAACAGAGAAGCAACCTGAACTGAAACTTAAGAGCTTAACCGCTGCTGAATTTCATTTACAACATGCTGTTTGGTGTCAGTATGTATGAGTGGATCCACACATTGAACTTTTAATGCTATTGAAATCATTCCAAAAAGTTCCAACAAAGCTCAAACTTGTAATAATTATAGTGCGAGTTGTTTCAAGATGCAGATAGTCTTTTAGAATTTTACAATTTTTTGAATTAAAAACAGGTTGAACAATTTTTTGGGGGACATACAGTATGCTTGAATAAGATTGGTTTACTTTACTTTTGACTCTTTAAGTGCATTTGGTTTTGATACTTTTACCTTGTAAAACTTTAACTAGAACCAGTATTTTACATGCTATTATGTAATGATCTGCATAAGTTTTCTTCTTTTACATTTTTTTTTTATATTAACGTTTCAGTACAGAAGCGCTGCACCAGCTCCAAGCTGTAGCCTACACGAAATGATGCGATAACATTTGAGAAGGATCATGATCATATCATTTCATCTTTAAAAAAGACATCAGGGGGACATCAGTAGTCTCATGTCAGATTTATGGTCATTTGCAGTTTATCTCCACGTGTTGTTCACATCCCCGTGTGCACAATAAGTCACTTGAAGCTTTTCATTCCTCCAAACAAGATTCAATACAATTTAAATACAATCATCATCCCATGATTCCTAATTGCATTTAAGATCCAGATGAGAAATATGTGGCATGCCAATAACATATTTAGAAGAAGCTGTCCAGTCATGTGATGAGGACTGCAGAACAAATGGCATGTGTGTGTGAAATAGTGTGATATAAGCTGAGCTGCCCGATAATGCAAAGAAGGACTGAGCTCCTGTCCTCCCTCTCCCTGGAAAGAGAAACAAATAACAGGACTGTAAGAGCGAGAGTGAGCTACCTGAGGCTGGAAGAGAAGCTCCAGTGGAGTGTCGCTTGTCAGGCGGAGGGGGAGCGGGGCGATTTGGGCGAGTGAGAGTGTGTGGAACTATAGCAGCAGCCAGAAACAGAGACAGGAATAACAGAGAAGGCAGAGGAGGAAGAAATGTGAAAGGAGTGATGCGAGGAAATAATTCACAGAGAAGGTCAGAAGAAGGGAAACAGTGTTGATGTGTATGTGTGTCTGCCTGCCTGTCGCAGTGATGGACTTCTTGTCCTCGTCTTCATCGCTCTCATTGAAGTCGTCCAGGTTACCGATGTCTGAGGGTTTGACGCTCATCAGGCTGGCCAGACTCTGCATGTCTTCATCACTGAGGAGCAATAATAGTAGTTGAGGTATGTTACATTTATAAGCCTACATGATGGATTGTACATCTCCCCTTCTATCCGTTGCACAAAAATGAAGCTAAAATATCCCAGATACAGGTGCTGCCATCTTGCATATTTGACGTCATTTGGATTCTGCACCGTTAACGATCGCAGTTCGAGGTCCCACCCATACAGGCTCTTGACCAATTGCGAGTCAGTCTCAGATGTGAATCATGACGTTTCACCTCGTTTTATAGCATCAAATAACTAATCAAGACCAATTTATGAGCACTTGAACAAACATCAGTGTGATATGAACGTCCCAAAATGACATAAACTATCTTTGAGATTATTTCTTAGGCGTGTTTATGACTTATACTGCAGCCAGCCACCAGGGGGCTATCAAGATGATTTGACTTAACTTCTGAGGAGCTGTTATGTCCACCATCTTTATACAGTCCACGTCTGGGACAAACAGACAACCAATGTCGTAACACTGTCATATTGGTGTCACATGCAATAAAAAAGTGCAGCAGCTATCCTTTTAAATATTGACTCCATCAAAACACGCCTTCATAAAACCATCATGACCACATGGCCCTGATGCATCAAGTAGAATAACTACGACCACTACTCACGTGGCTTTTCCCTCACGAACAAAGACACACGACAGCGAGAGCTTGAGCGTGGCCTCCACCACTTTAACGGACAGCGGCTTCAGCTTCAGCATCAGGTCAATCTGCGTCGGCGTGGGACTGGCAAACCGCTTCAGGTTGATGTCAGCCGACGCCAGCACCTTACGATGCCCCTTGTTCTCCTGGACGAATCCAAGAAAAACACCCACGATGAGAAATGTATTTTGAATACATTTAAAATCTGTTTCGTCTCATTTAAATGTCAAACATTAGTGTTTGACTTACACCCTCAATGACAAAGGTCCACTCTTTGTCCTCAAACTCATCAGCGTTGGCTTCCTGAGGACGAAAATACAATTGGTTTAGTGCAACATATTCTCTAAACATTTCCTTTATATAGTAATTGTAAAAGTACAGTTATCGTAATAGTTTATGAATGCATGTGGTTGTATAATGTAATATCTTGATGTCCCTGTATATACACTCACTCAAACTGTGGGAACTTTTAACAAGCAAGATCTAGTTTTAGCTACGATGATTTCTACAAAGAGGATGAATATTTATTACTATAATTAGCAGGATTCATTTTCATTAAATGTTTTGGAGGCGTGGGGCATGATCAAAGAAAGACGTTAAATTTTGGAGCAGATCCTGGAATTATTTTGAATTAACATTGCATTAGCATTAGGACATTAGGACATTAGCCTTGGGCTTGCCCCACTCTCCGTTCTCTTCTGATTTGAAACTGGAATCTTTAATTTCAATATAATGAGACTTCTATTCAAGTATTAAATGTTCCTCTTGCTTTTCTTATTGTAAAACTACTGCAACTTGTGTATGCAAATTTCTAGTTGTGCACATTTCTCACTTTAAAAGATGATGTCCTGTTTAAACTGAATCAAGATTCATGGATTATTCTGTGAGAAATCAATGACATTTTGAAAAATGCTTTATCTGGCAACGTTATAGAAAGTGAAAAACAAATCCAAAACCATTCTCCCCTGTGTAATCCACCACCCAGCTGGTAATATAATGTGTCACCTGCTGTATGTGTACATTGAGTGTTTTGGTTTTTGTACCTTGAAGAGTGTCACAGAGATGTCGATGTTCTCTGGGACAGGCCACACCACCATGCCCCTGTAGGGGTTCTTGATTCCAGGCTGCCAACTGTGGAGCTGAACACAACAAACGACACGTTAACAAGAAGCAGTTTGTCTGTGTGTGTGTGTGTGTGTGTGTGTGTG